TTGATCTAAACGCAAGAATGGATCAAATGTATAAGCTCATTCAGGAAAATATGGATTCCAATAGAGCCTTCCGTGACTTGGTACAAAAACTAATATCCAAATGTTAAATCCGCTGTTAAAAATCGGATTATGGAACGCACGGGGCCTGGTCAAAAACAATGATGAACTCAGGCTTTTCCTAAGTTCAAACTTGATCGATATCATGTTAATAACCGAAACGCATATGCGTCCTGGCTTGAACGCATATTTGCCAGGATACGACCAGTACTACGCTAATCATCCCAGTGGCACCGCTAAAAGTGGTTCTGCAGTCATCATTAGATCAAGTATCGCTCATTCACAGAATGAGCCAATTCTAAAAACAAGCATCCAAGCGGCCAGCGTAACTATACCGACGAATGGTGGAAGCATCAAAGTCTCCTCCCTATATCTTCCTCCCAATGAAGCTTGGTGCAGGGCCGACTTTGATCTATTACTTGCAACCTTAGGAGATAAGTTTATTGTAGGCGGTGATTTTAATGCAAAACACCAATGGTGGGGTAATTCCAGATCTTGCAGGCGAGGAAGGTGTTTGCAAGAGGCCATAGCTAGTACTACTTGCCAAGTTCTTGCTACTGGAGAGCCAACTTTCTACTCTTACAACACACGGCTTAACCCCTCTGCACTAGACTTCTTTATTGTCAACAGGATTGCCCTAAACAGACTCACCGTTGAAACAAAATATGAGCTCGCATCGGATCACCTTCCAGTAGTAGCGACGCTACATCATGCACCGCAATATAATCCCAAGAGGGAATATATTCTACCACCTGGCTCCCGTATTGATGTTTTTAAAGCCGATCTCGAAAGAAGAATTAACCTGAACGTCGAAATTAACAGCCCAGAGGATATCGAAGACGCGATATCAATCCTCATGAAGAACATTTCACTGGCTGCGTCTTCTGCTGCACCGAAAACTTTACGCTTGCCAACCCAACATAGTCAAGCTAGTCTACCACCAACGGCTGCTGCGCTCTTAAGCCTGAAAAGAAGAGTCAGGAAAGAATATGCAAGAACTGGAGATACTCGCATTCATCAAATCTACAAAAGACTGTCCAATCGACTGCAAAAAGAGCTTGCTAAAATCAGACAAGGCAGAATTGATGACATATTGGAAAGTGCTGGTCCAGATGCATCATTTAATTACTCGCTCTGGAAGCTTACGAGGCGATTCAAGAGGCTGGTCATCCCTAAGACTCCAATTAAGGATCCTTCAGGCGGATGGAGCTATTCCAGTCAGCAGAAAGCTGAAATCTTTGCAAACAGCCTAGAGGAAAGATTTAAGCCTTTTGACTTTACATCAGCAGATAGGCGAAGGGTAGTCGAGCTTAGGCTGGAGATGCCATTCCAAATGGCCTTGCCTGCAAGCCCAGTTACACTGCAAGAAGTGGTACAGCAGATAAAAAATCTAAAGGTCAAAAAAGCGCCTGGAGAAGACCTTTTAGACAACAGGACGCTGAAACTGCTCCCCACAAGGGCTCTGCTGTATATTGTTTTGCTCATGAATAACATACTCAGGCTGAGGCACTTTCCAAACTGCTGGAAAATGGCGCTAATTACGATGATTCCAAAGCCAGAGAAACAGCATACTGAAGTAGATGGATATAGGCCGATTAGTCTGCTACCTGCCCTCGGGAAGATGATGGAACGCGTGATTCTGGACCGGATTCTCCAGCTCGAAGCCGTGACGCGCAGAATTCCAAAATGGCAATTTGGATTTCGAAGAAGTCACGGAACACCGGAACAGCTCCACCGTGTGGTCAACTTCGCCCTGGAAGCCATGGAGCAAAAGATGTACTCAGTGGCTGTGTTTATGGATATTAAACAAGCTTTTGATAGAGTGTGGCATGATGGTCTCCTCTGCAAATTGAAAGGCATACTAACTCCTCAATTGTTTCAACTCATCGAAAGCTTTCTAAGGGACAGAAGCTTCAGAGTTGCTGTTGATGGAGTGAAATCCACGAGGCGCTCAATTTGTGCAGGAGTGCCCCAAGGCAGTGTTCTCGGTCCTACCCTGTATACATTATTTACTGCTGATATGCCTGCACCGCAAGAGATCCTTGGAGTAGACGAGAATGACGCACTAATAGCTACTTACGCAGACGACACTGCGGTGCTTACCAGATGCAGAGATATCGATGTAGCTTCGGAAGCCTTACAGCAGTATGTAAGTAGTTTCGAGAAGTGGGCTCTGAATTGGAACATTGGTATCAACGCCAGCAAGTGTGCGAATGTCACATTTACAACAAGGCCGTCGTCATGCGGAGATATCACAATGTTGGGGTCCACGCTCAGCCATACAAATTCGCACAAATATCTTGGTGTCATTCTGGACAGAAGGCTCAACTTCAGCAAGCATACAACAATGGTCAAGCGATCGGTCATGGCAAAAGCCGGAAAGATGGCATGGCTGCTTGCACCCTGCAACAAGCTGTCTCTGCACAGTAAGGTGACAGTATACAAGTCCATATTAAGTCCAATATGGAAGTATGCGCTACCAATTTATGGCATTGCCGCTGCATCGAACCTAAATAAAATAAGAGTTGCGCAAGCTAAAATACTCAGAAAAATATGCAACGCTCCCTGGTATATGCGCACTAGGGACATCGAAAGAGACTTATGTGTCCCCAAGGTTGGCGATGTCATTCAAATGCACGCAAGCAATTACGAGAAGCGACTCGGCAGTCACCCCAACGCACTAGCGAGGCGGCTCCTGTCCAAACCTAAGAAGAGAAGATTGAAGAAGTGCCATCCAAAGGATCTCCCCACAAGATCCCTTGTATAAAATATATAATATATATCATAAAATATAATTTCATTTCTAATGTAAAACATTGTAAATATTGTATATATGTACATAGATATAAGTGCGTCCTATAGATGCTTACTATAGACAACTTTTGTATTCCCTAACTTTCAACTAGCTTAAGCTGCCATATTGGTAGTAGAAAACTAGTTTAATAAATTGTATATATGTAAAAAAAAAAAAAAAAAAAAAAAAAAAAAAAAAAACAGACTTGAATTTCAAATAAGAAAGCAATATGATTTATTTACACTAATCGGCATAGTTATTTTGACGAATCGTACTCACAATTATCGGCGTGTGTTGCCTTAAAGACCAAGTGCTTTTGGGGGAATTTAATTAAATGTTGAACCTACTGCGGATCAATGGAATAAGTCAATCAAAGATTCAATCAGTCAGCCTGTTGTTCAATAAAGCTTTAAGCTTTGGAGAGATTTAAGGAGGGATTTAAGCAAAGGACATACCTTGTATATCAAAGGTGAACGAGCTCAAAAGATAGGCTTTTTCTCAATTTAAACACGTTTAGGAGAAGCGTTCTATGCACAGATGAAAGCACCTTTGGATACAATTCATCAACAAAAACAGAGTTTTGTTTGATGACAAACAAATGTCCCCCTATTTGAGAACCCCTATTGAGAATGGGTTCCCTCATTGGAGAATCTTTTATCCTCTGCATAAAACCAAAGCAAATACTACTCTCGATGTGTCTACAGAATTGATTGAGCTCTTGTTTATATCTTGTTAAGCATTAAGAAAGACAGAAGGAGAGGAGGAATGTTAGAAATAGGCTATTAGTATGCTTAGGTACTATATAAAAGTACCTTCAAAATGGAGCTCAAATAATGACCAGACCTGCACCAACAATAGGAAATAAAGCGATCTTGATATGTGCTTTCTGTTCAGCACGACTGAGACCGGTCTAAGCAAGTAACAAACAGTGCTAGACGACTGAAAAGTTCAAAAGTTTACAAATTATTGTATGTATATAAAAATCTAATTGTTATCAGCATGACGATGGGAATGTATTTTGGGATTTCCGTTACTGAATATATGCCGATTCCGCCAAGTACTGGTATATGTTATTTGTGCTTTGCGTTCTATATTTGTGAATACAAACAACAAGCTAGTGATATGCATACTTATTTGAATCATCAAGCAAAGAGTTGTCAAGTGTTTAAAATCGCGTAAAATACAAAAATATTTGCACTGCGGCCAGTTAGTCACTAAATACATTCTGTTGCTAACTATTCGCCGATTCTGGGGTGAATAAATACAATATATGCATATATACTAGATGGATTGATTACAAATGCAAACTTGACGCCTGCCTGCCAACAGTTTTCTGCTACATTTGTACTGGCAGTAAAGGTACACTATATATGTATGTATGTATGTATGTATGTGTACAGTAACTAGTTTTATTGTTCGTGGTTTTTTTTTTTGCAGTCGAAGCCATTTGGCATGCTAATAGTGGATAATTTAAAAGTAATAGTTTTTATTTGTCGTGCACCCATATTTCTATATCACGAGTGGAGATGTCCCACAGACGACGATCGTGGGGCAAAACCCAAGCACAATTTCTAGGAAAAATAAAAAATTACAATAAGCAACTTGTTTGAACGAAAGATGCTCAATAAATTTATTTTTATTGTGCATAGTATACGCCTGCTAATTAAGCGCGAATATATTAGCGTGGCTATAGAAATTGTTGCTGCCTTAAACTGATTGTTCAATTTGTAGTCAATTTGATAAGCGCGGCAAAGTGGATGCAATTCACACCCCGTAAGAATTTACAACTCTGCGGCTAAACTTTTGACAGAAGAACAAAATTAATTGCAATTGCCGTCAATAGTGAGGGATATAGTAGAGTAGTTGCATAAATCCGATTCTGTTGTACAAGTAGTTTGTAATTTCTAAGTATATAAAGGTAGAAGCTTAAGAAACTATTGATGTTGAACTTGATAACATCTATCAAGCTATATATGTGAGAATGCCAAGTAATTGGAGACAGCAGCAACTTTATATGAAACGTTTTAAAATGTTCATCTAAGATTTTAACTTCTTTGCAGTTCACAGTGGAATTATACATTCCCTTCTTTATTCTAGTTTCAGAGCTTATACTCTACTATAAATCAGCTATGTGTCTACTTGTACTTACAAATGGAGTGGCGTGTAGATGGCCCTGGCCGGGATGCAGCTGCTGGTACTGTGGGGAGAGCATCACGTGCGTCACGGTGCCGTTCTCATTAACGTACTGAGGCACCTGCACGGGCACGGGCATCGGCGGCGGCGGGCGATTTTGCGAAACCATTTGAACAGCCGTGGGACCTGCAATGGGAGCAATAAAAAAGGACGCGGTTAGTATCGCCCATGTTTGCATGCATACGACTATAAGGGGAGGGGGGGCTGATGGGGCTGAGTATATGAGCATTCAAATGCAGCAATATGGTGCCAGCTTTAAGGCGACGAGGCGCCTTCTGGGCGCCAGCATGGCGACTACCGAGCAGACTTTGTTTTATGTCAGTGTGCGTGTTCTGTTCGTTTCTGTTCTGTTTTGGCTCTGTTTGTTTAATGGCGAAGAGATGTGCGTGTGCGTGTGCCAAAATGAGATGTGACTGCTGGTCAGGGTGACCGTTTTCCAAACTTCTTATAAGTGCTAAGGCAACTGGATTAAAAGTACAAAATATATGTTGAATGCCAACCAAAGAAACCCGTCTTAAGATTAGGAAACATTTGCTAAGATTTTTTATCTTACTTGTAGTGTGAGTTTCAGAGTCTCTCTATTTTATAAGAAGACTATTTTTTTTCTGAGCAATTGTTGGTCACTCTAGCTATGTGGCGCGGAGAGGCTGGTCGTCTGTGTTTTGTTCCACGTGTTTGCTCAGCACGCATACGCACCGTTGACCATTTAAATGTGCATTTCATTTGCGATTTAAGGCACACAGTGCGTATGATTAATAGGCAGACGCAGAGCACAATTCAGCTACATTTTTAATAAATGCTCGGCCATAATTTCGCGCCAGCAACATTTCTTGGCATACGCCGGTCCTGTTATTCCCCCTTCAACACACAAATGGGAACTTTAGCAACATTTTTTGGCACCGCTCGCTGCTCGTATTGCACAAAACTGTCATTAGAGCTCGCCGACGATTCCGGCAGTTCCATCTCTAGCCAGTTACATTTCGGCTGCAACTTTGTCGCATGTCAGCGAAGGCCAGTTAGAGGCAGCAGTATGTGCTTTAGCCAGACAACTCATATTGCCTTTGGGCAGCCGATATCTGGCAAACACATACTATACTCGTACTACACAACCAAAGGCATATTTTGATTTGGAATTTTGTATTGCTTTTCAATTGTGTACTAGATTTTGGCTGTGAGTTCGCATTGCGGGCACCCAGCCCCAAACCAGTTAATTCGTTCAGCTTTCGAGAGATGTCTGGACGAGATTAGCGCATGACTTGGCTCAATGGCCCGACAAATGGGCAACTGTAGTGGACGTTCGATTAGGCGCACTGAACGTTCACTTCTGCGATACAATACAAGTACGAGTGCAAACACAACTTCCCAGTCCTCTGATGCGATGAAATTTATTGAAATATTTTAAGTAAAGAGAAATTATTATAAGCTCCACTAGAAATTATGTATTATTCAAGTAATCATAAGTCAGCAGAGTCCAATTCCTATTCGCTTACGGTAGAAAGAAGCCCTTTCAGCCGCTCTCATTTATTTCGATTTTACTGTCTTTTTTTTAAAGATAATTCCCCCAAGTTTTTAGCTCGTTTAGATGTAATTTCAAAGTTTGATTTATGCAGTCGATCAATCATTTCGAAAATGAACGCACGACTGAAAACTTTAAACGAATACTTATACTAACATCTACTACACCTTTGCTCTGACATGGTTTTGATTTTCAAAGCATTGCCTTTAAATTTCTAGCTGCCTCAGGTGGCCCTAATCCCTTTCTATTGTTAGCAGGGAAGACAGGGGAGTTGGAAGGTGTGGCATACAGGTTATATAGCCGCACTATCAAGTGACGTGTATGTTGCATATCAATGCTTTTGACGCAGCAGCTGCCACGCTTGTTTTTAGCAGCTGCGTGCACTTTGCATCTTGCCTGTGGCATGCTGCAGATTGTTAGTTGCACGTTGCATGTTGGGCACGTAAAAAGCCATGTCTTATGCGTCATATGTTGCATATGTTACGCGTCTTTCTTTCATTCGTGCCTTCACTCTTTGCTTCGTTTTCTGGCCAAACAATGCAGCTGAATACATTTTGGATGCGCACACGGGGCGTATGCGTAATGTTTGCTAATGGATTGCTAAGCCACGGCAGTCTGGGTTAGAACCAAAGTTGAGACGGCTAGCGCCTTAAAGTTAATTAAACAAGTACACGCTTAAACTTTTAACTAAGTAGCGTAAATGCGAACTAACTGTAATACGCTTAGCCATGTCTCGCGGCCAGTCAAGCCGAAAATGCAGACAGTGGAGCGGCCGGCCCAGGGGCGTGCCAATGGCAAATCAACTGTGAATTGCAGCAATAACAACAATAACTAGTGTGTGGCAGCTGCAAGAACTGTACTCGCATGTGCTTGTGCGTGTGTGTGTGTGTGTGTGTGTGTGTGTGTGTGTGGAGGCCAGCCAGCCAGACAGACAGCCAGCCGGCCAGCCAGCCGGCCAGCCAGCCGTTTGGTATGCTACAGTTAGGTGTAAAAATGTTGGTTTAGTGCGCTGACGCATAACATGCCAAAGCGAAAGAAGCGAAAGCGCTGATAAAAACAAAGCCAAAAACAGTTAATCAGGTTTACCAGTAACAGCTAAAACAACAATAGCAGTTGGTAGTTGGTAGCCAGCCACCGTTAGTTGTCTTCGCTGTCTGGCTAATTTAATGAAGCGCATGCGAAACGCGCCACATGAAATGCACACCACAGACCAGAAAGTTGTTGCAACTCCCAAGCTCTGCCTCTTTGCCTCTTTGCCTTTCTGCCACCCTGGCCGCCACACACGTCAGTCTCTCTCTCTCCGCTGGCAAGTGTTAAAAGGCAGCAATTAGTTACTGTCCGGTCATAGACGACGGCACGATAGCAGCTTATCACTCGCCAGCAGACAGTTAAAGGCTTTGCGCCCCATAATTGATGTGTGGCCGATTGTCTGTCTTCCGCCCCTATTGCCAACTTCCCTTCGGAAAGTCTACAGTGTCCAGTAACCAGTAACCAGTAGCCAGTGTCTGATGCTTGGCTAACGCTTCAACTTTGAATTAATTAACGCTAAACTGCTTATGCTTATGGGCCGACTGACTGGCTGTTTGGGGTTAAGTCTTGATTTCATAATTAGCTCTTAGTGCGGCCTCGAGCTTACAAAAACAATTTCTCGGCTCATTGTAATGTGCAACAACATTTCCAAAAACATTTTCCTCTAATTGCGACGGCGGAATTTCGCCAGCCATTCTAACCATTGAATGAATAAATTGCTTAAAGTTTTGTACATATTGCCAAATTGAAGGGATTGCCGTCTTGTGGGCGGCAAATAATTGGATAATATGAGTAGAAGAAGATATTTTAATAGGAAGATGTTAGAAATTTGTCAGTTATCAAGTATATATTTCAACTTTTCATTTACCAGTTGAAGATTAAAAATTGATTTACATTCCAAGACATGCTTGCTGTACATATATAGAATTTGTTTGAAAAATGTTTCATTCTGTAATTTCTTGGCAGATTTTACAAATAACATATATATTAGATGAAAGCTTATTAATAGAAGATTGAAAAGAAAGACAGTATGATAGTCTTTGGAAACAAAAGAAAATAATGTAAGCCTGAATAAAAATCGCTTCAGGAATTATTAGAGTAAAAACGTTGGATATTCAAACCAAAAGGTGTACTTGTATTTCTTTGTAATTTGATTTAATTTACAAAAATGTTGATTACAAAACCTTTCTTTTTTCGCTCGCACTTTCTTTCTTTCGCACTGGACCATAGAGACGTTAATATTATAATTTCGATTCAACTTCACATTAAAGTTGATTAAATTTTTAACCCTGCCATGCTCATGCATGCTTGGGCTTAACAACAGCCTTTCTCCCAATGTGCTTGCGCAATCCTTTCAAAGCCCAATTGCTCAACTTTTTGGCCATGCTTCGTTGAATGAGTGGCTCTGTCTCTGTCCCTGTCTCTGCCTCTTGCTGTGGTTGTCTGTCTGTCTGTCTGTCGCTGGATAGCCTGTGGCGAGATTGTCACTGCGCGCGTCCAAAGTGGCTGAAACTTCACTTTTATTCGCTGTGTAATTACAAATTATTGCCATTGTTGCGGCTGTTGTTGTTGTTGCTGTTGCTGTTGTTGCTGTGGTTGCTGTTGTTATTATTGTTATTGCTGTAGTTGTAAGAGTAGCTGTGGCTGTTATTATTATTATCAACGCCAGGCTACGCGTCGCTGCCTGTCGGCGGCGTGTCAAATGAACTTGACAGCCTAGTAGTCGAGGTCTGGGGGGCTCTTTGGAGGCCTGTGGGAGGGTCTTTGGGTCTTTGGTCTCCTTGGGGTCGGCGGAGTCGTTGACGAGGTCGACACGCACGACATGCACCCAAAACGCTTATGAAATTAATAACAATAATTTTAATGATGGCGACGCGTGTTGAAATTTTAGCAACCAACCAAAAATTTCGCTGTGATTTTTGCTGCAAAAATCCGTTCGTACTCCTCTCCTTTTCCCCAATCAGCACTCTTCACGCATAGTTTATAATTATTGTCACACAATTTCGGCATTATAATGCGAATCTAAATTGTTGCGGAATTTCCGAAAGTCTAGCTGGCTATGTGGCTTATCTCTTAGCCATTTTCTTAGCTCGGTCCGAGTCCCAAATGGCTTGTGTGGCTCGACTTGTTATTGAGTTCAATTAACGACGCGTGCGCGATTATTCTGATGGTTATGGCACAACATTGTCGCCCGCCTCAATGAACTGTGCTCGCTAAATAGCTCCGGCCCCGAACCATTGCCAACTGATTTAGCCACAATGAGGGGGAAAGCCAACATCAAATCCAAAACTTTCATATGCACGGCCCACACGGCCCAGATGGGGGGCTACAAGTTTCTCAATCCATTAATGCAAAACTTTTTTTTGTAACCGAAAATTTGCTTTTAACAATCAGCTTTAATTGCGCATACGCCCTGTTAAACGACAAGTTAAGCTCATATGGATTTTGATTGATGTTCATTTTTGAAGCCACTTGGCCGAGTGGCCCAAGTGGCGTATACGCAATGTTTACTCGTTCCATCTACCTTTCGGGTATACCCTTTAACATGCTGTCGCGGTGCTTGCATTTGATAACTCACTTC